GACTCTCTTTGTTGTTCCTTTGGATAGGAAAACACGCCCGCTTGCCTATCGTGGCTCTCTACTTGGCAAAACATTCATTACGCCTTTTGATTGTTATCTCCAATCTTTCTGCTCGCAATTACTAGTGAATACTCCCCTCTTTAGAATCCTTCATGTTGTGATCTCTTAAATAAGTTTCCAGCCTACAGCTCGAGCAGGTCGAATGACTTTTCACCGCGTTGCGATTTGACGAGCACTTGGCAGGTGATCAAAGCGGTAACGCGCTTAGATGCCGGAAGCCAGCGGAATTTTAAAAGCTATATGGATAAGGTTTTTTGCAGTCAGTTGTGGAACAAACGTATATCTATAACACACAGAAGAACTATAAATGCGAAATCACGACTGTCGAAGAGATGAAACGTTTCTTAGCTGTGTGTGTGGTGTGTTATGAGTGTTCTGAACAAGTTCCCTTTCGCAACGTCTGTTATGTGCACTTATACAGCGCGAGACACGTGTTTCGGTCTTTCAAACTTCGTCACTAGCAGGGTACCCCTTCATTCAGTCAGTTCTTCGAGAACCTCTCTCTATATAGAAGATTCGGCGACGAGCTTTTTTCATTCATCGCACGGTAAAACAGTCACTTTGGCGTTCTTTCAGAGTTATTGATTGCCAATTACATGGCATGTAGATGTTGCATAGGACATACGCCTAAAGATCAAAATTCATTATTAGATGATATTGCCCTTGAGCGAGTTCTTAAAATAGTCGACTGAAAGGCTTATTCGATAACTATTAATTTTTACTAGGCCAGTTTTTGGCACATAATCAAAATGTGGATATCCCAAGGTTGAGATCGTTATACCTAATCTTCAATTGTTTTCAATTTCTTCAAGCTAATGTTCACTCTGCGAGTATCTCATAGTGCCTCTTTGCAACATGCGGTTGCTACTCAATCATCGATGTTCACATTCTCTAACAAGAAAGTCTTCAGTAACTTCAGTAGGGGTAGGTTCTCGAAGAACAGATTGAAAGAAAAGGTACCGTGCTAGTGATGAGGTTGAAAGGCCGAAAACACGTGCCCTGCACTGTATAAGCGCCCATAAAATATTTCATGAAAGGCTCAACATATATTGTCAGAAATGAGCTTACCACTTGCATGTTTTCCTAAGTTATGAGCAGTCGGCAACCATCTGGTCGGTAAACTCGACGTACCCGTCTCTTTTGTTGCGGTTCTGCACCAGTTGGAAATTTCCTCATCGTCGGTCGACGGAGAAGCCGTGTGATGCGGTAACAATTGTGACTTCTCTGCTCTCCTCCCACTCAATCACGGTAACTCCGCTTTTGTTCTGGACGGCTTTCTGCTGCTCTTTGTCTAACTACTGTTTCATGGTTTGTTGAGAAGAGAGTTCTGGGTCACTATGATAAACATGAGATAACTCCCATGCATATCATAGAAATATTACAGTTTCCATGTAAGATTCCCCACCAAAGCAATAAATACTATTCGTCTTCGTTTCACTTGGTTACATGCCTCCGCCTCGTCCAACAACACAATCGAGTTCGTGTTTTATTGCGTCATTATTGAAGAAAGGGTCTTTCATAACGAGCTGCAGTCGATGAAATCAACGAAGTTGAAGTTACAAGAAGAAAATCTACTGCTGAGCACTGGATTCAAAGCTTTAATGCCGGATGTCTTGACTTCGGAGACAAGCTTCGTTCAAGACGTCCAACAAAGTTGAATATCAAAAATTCGATTGCTGCGTTCTTGAGTTCTTTATCCAAAACTTAGCGGACCGATGGCAGAAAGTCGCAGAAAACGATGGCCTTCATTCTGAAGAATAGTTATCATTGTTTTTGTTGAAATTCATGCATAAATTTCCAGTTTCTTACAAATGTCTCAAAAATTTCTTTCAACCTCAATATGTTTTCCTATCTGATAAAATGGTATTGGTGCGCCAGTTGTTGTGCAGAGGTGTCTGTCTCCATGTGAAATCTTGTCCATTAATTGCGTAAAAGCACCATCTGCAGCTCGTTCGCCCGAATTGTCAGTTGTTCCTGCATATTGGTATGCGATCCTATTGGAACTGTACTCTCTTAATGACTAATTGAAATTCCTTTTGTTTAACCGCTACTAGCGCTGGTATGATGTTTCAAATACACCCATTAATGAAGAGTGACGCGCAAAACTTTCTGGTCAGGAGGGAATTGAACCAGCAACACCTCTATCCGGGAGCGCGTGCTCTATCCGTCACCTACTGACGTCCATTTTGCACACCAATCTACGCTAGTGTAACGGACGGAGCACGTGCTTCCGGAAAGAGTGAGGTGGGGTTCTTGTCCTGGCTGACGCGAAAGTTTTGCACATCACTGTACATCAATTGGTATATTTGAAATATCATACCACCGCTAGAAGCGGTTGAACACAAAGAATCTCATTTGATCTTTGATACCCAATATCTGTCAGCGTGACTGGGTTCAATGTCGAGACCGACTACCCGGGCCAGGCCGTTGACGGCTGGCGTAGATAGATGCGCTGTAACGTTAAAGATTGGTGTGCAAAATTGGCGTCAGTAATGTAACGGATAGAGCACGCCATCCCGGAAAGAGTGAGGTGCGCGTTCTAGTCCCGCCTGACGCCAAAATTTTGCAAATCACTCTGCATCAATGTACTCTGTTAGGCTGCACAGTTTGACAGCTACAATGCAAATTTGGGTCTCCTGAGGAGAAATTGATTGATCAATACATACATTCCTCTCACGTATAAAGGGAGAGAGAAAAGTTGTGTCAAATTCTGTGTTTTGTTAATTTTAACATTGACAAAATGCTTTTTTATTAGTTCTAATAATTTTCTCGAATTTCCAGTTCAACTTTGATTGGAATGTGCTTTATTTACTCGTCGTTTTCAGTTGTGCTCAAGTTATCGATGTAAAAACGAACGTACTGCAGTAGCTGAGTTGCGCAAGATGGAAATGAAAACGGTCGACATTGTTATAATGACTCGTTTCAACCCAAGAAGTTTCTACAGAGCCGTGAAACGTTTCAAAGAGACTGGAGGGAATTATGGACCGTCCTCAATAAGCTCGTCCAATCACTTTGTCTACTCCGCAAAACATTCAAAAGATCTGATGTCAAATTTAACACAATCCGTTAGCGTTCAGTGTAGAAAATGGCAAAAAAAAGTTTAAAATCAGCTATTGAAGCGTTCAAAACATTGTCAAAAATAAATTGAAATTTTGCAGCTGGAAAATCGATCGTGTTCATTTTCTGGACAAACAGATGAAAGAAAAACGGCTTTTAAAATCTAGCCGAATATTTCGTCCGATAGCTGGCGCTCGTTTGTCAGAGGGGTTGTTACGGATGAGGAAATATTCACAGTCGAATGACTTCATAATGGCCAGGATCAAAATCAACTTTGCAAGAAAGGTCCGCAGAAGTCTGCAGTAGCAAAAGCCATAGGCCGCAGTCATTTTCCGGCCTTTGTGATGCTCTGAGACGGCATTTTTAACCTGAAAGACGCCGTTAGTCGTTGTCAACGAAAAACGTCAGAATCAAAGCTGCCACCTATGAACAGCAAGTTTTGCGGAGCGTGCTGGACGGCCTAGAAGTAATCTTGGCGCCGACAAATTTACGTTTCAGTAAGATTAAGCTGGTGCCCATTCGCTCCGCTCAACGATAGCCATTTGTCAGGAGGTATTTCCAGGTTTTTCAATCAGGGACATTTCATTATCAAGCTTACAAGATCCTACCCAGTGGATCAGTCCGTGTTGTTCATACTGGGGAAAAGTATTGGTGATTGCTACAATACTGTAAACGCACCTAAAATGACTTTGACGCACTCTTGGGGCGAAATTACGGTGGAAACGTGGGTGAGCATCGTCGGAAATTTTCGCAAAGCGACTTCTTAAATGTAGGCAGTTTCTCGTTTGACACACTTGAATAGTGTTCCTATCTCGGGCAATTTTTCCTTTCCATCTCACCTTCGAATTTTGGCGAGATGCAAGCGCGTCATGAAGTGAGAAAATTCATCCCTTAGCATAACACTTGACCCAAAAACAGCCTCATAGAAGATGGGTGACTGCTTCGGTAATGTTTCACTTGTAGTGTTCATAACACTCAAACGCAAACGCAAACGCAAACACACACACACACACACACACACACACACACACACACACACACACACACACACACACACACACACACACACACACACACACACACACACACACACGCAGCTAAGAAATACTTCATCTCTTCAACATTCGTGTTTTCTCACTGATAGTTCTTCTGTGTGCCTAGATATTCGTCTGCTACGCAATCACCTGCGAAAACCCTGCATAAACAGCTTTCAAAATCGGACTAACTCCTGGCAACTGAGCGCGACACCGCGTTGAAGACGTGCCGAGTGCTCATCAAATCGCAGCATGGTGAAAGATTACGCATTCGTCTACCACTCACCCTCAACACTTCCGACATCCGGAGTGCCTTCTTCTGTGTGGTTTCAATCTATCATCTCAGAGTCATTCTGCGATCACATTTTTCATGCTCTCATCCGATGCGCCACCAGTTTCCACATCGGAGCTTATAGCTTATCACTCAGACATGGCTATCCGGAAATCTTCTATAGACGATACGGCACTGAAACACAAGCTCCGAAGAGTCGTCAACAGCTTACCAAGTTTTAGTTATAATGGAACAATAGATTCACATTATGATATTTTTTAAACTTTTATTCTATGAGTGTTGGCATCTATGACATCGCAATATTTATTTGGCATACCTAAAGATTCGACCTCAGACGGGAGTTGCACCGGCGTTTCTTCCACGTTAGGGGCCCGTGCTACTACCACGCCACAGAGGCCACTGCCTACTCACCTCATTCATCGAATTATATAAGTACAAGGGCTGTCAGCATAACTGGGTTTATCGAGCGATATTACTTACCCGATCAAACCTGTTAATGACTGATGCCTGTTAGTTATGACAGAAATATTTTGAAGATTGACCGGTGAGTAAGCGGTGGTCTCTGCGGTGTAGTGGTAGCACGCGTCTCCTGTATAGAGAAGCGCGGGTTCAACTCCAGCGAGAGGTCGCATTTTTGCTTACCAATCAAATCTCTTACTTATATTTGAAGCAACATAACACTGTGAAACACCAGTAGAATCATGAAAAATTTTTGATTTATCTAACTTAATTATCTATTACATCATCTACGATTGGCGAGATCAACACAAACTGCAAAACTTTGACCCCTCTCGTGTACAATCATAACAAATTGCCATACACGGTGCACTTCCGTATGATCTAAAGCCATTATCAACAACACAGTGCCTACGCTACTTACACCGTGTAAATTACATTGTGCAATATAGATTTTCCAGTATACACACTACATAGCATCTTGTAGCAATTGTGGAATCATCATGGTTTGTGAGTTTGATACGACAGACAACCAATGCAAGGTCGAGGCATTAGCCTTCGATTGTCTAAGAGAAAAAGATGTATACTTCTATACTTTGAATAAAATTTTATACTGAAACATGAATAGAGCTGGAAACCTGTACAACATACCAGTTTTCCTAAAATATGGTTGACTTTTCTGGCAAAAAATTCTTTATCGAATTCCGACTTTTCTGGAACACATAATGATAAATATTTAGAAATAAATGACTCACTATCATAAATTTAGTTATAGTGAAGTTATCAATGACCTCATCGCATGCATTGTCCGGTTTTCGACCAATTATTTTTTACTTCCTGATTTTCGTTCACTAGTTGATTTTTGGGGAATGTATATGAAAAAGTCAAAACAAGGAGATCATTTGCATAATATTTTTCGCACGATTCAATGCAACTGAGTGAAAGCCAACAACAGATTGATTGGCAGTGTTTTACTAGTGTTTTTATTCACACACAAGAGTTATCTATGTTATATATGCTCCCAAAGCATATGAGTGCGTAGAAGATCGTGAGCTATCGAAATAATGTAGGAAACGTGGAATCTATCTTCCAGAACTGAGAAGAATCTCTAAATGATCAACTAAGATCGAATAATGAAAATGGAGTGTCTGTTTTAAGATTCGCGCTACATGCAGCGAAAATCTGGCCTCACAAACATGTTAATAATGCTGTCTACGATATAGTGTTTTACTTTACTGTCCTATATTCAAAACGGTAAATAAACACTTTGGTTGTTTTCTTTATTATATCAGACGTGGTACGGAATACCTAATCGCTTGCTAGACATGCGAGAATGAATACATTCTCGGAATGGGTCCAGCCTGATCTCTTTTAGAAGCAAACGTAGTTAAAAAATTCGCTGTCAAGCGAAATACCCCCACTGGATACACATAGGGAGCGAAAACACAAGGAACAGATTCTAATGCAAAAGTAACTATCGTCGCCCAGGAGTCCGACTCACCTGCGCGAAAACTTTGGAAGGTTTGTGGATTAAATATTGGAGAGTAAATATTAACAGCGAAAAGTGGTGCCCTGTAATTACGCGTGACCTCGCGCCATACCTCAAGCTAACTTTTCTGGTCGACATTCTCGCTCGATGAATGACTCTCAGCAGCTTCTCTCCAATGCTCAATTGAAGGTTCAGAATCAAAGAACCAGTGGGTGTTTTATGAAGAAGTTTTTTACTATGCCATTCGAGACACTTCGTCCATTACGCCTTTTTACCAAGGTTATGAAAGTATTTGGCTGAGTGGAATGCGAGTTAGCTTGGTCTATCCATGTTCTAGAGAGGCGAAACCACTGAAACGTCAGTCATCGTTTCATTATAGCACTGCACTAGTATTGCATTCGATAAAAAGCTGATATCAACATCCTCAAATCTGCTTACGGAGAAAAAACACTGAATACTGTACTGTATTATATATACCGAAGCAAAATAGAAAGGATGTTCGAACTCATCACAGCGAATAAATTTTCAGAGATAGTGTTTTTCAATTGTAAGGCGGTTTTGATCTGCTCGAGCTGAAGGCTAAGATCTCAATTCTGAGGTCTTCGAAAGATTCTCCAAAAAGATGTATATTTACTTGTATTTAGAAGCAGAAAGATTGAAGAAAACAATCAAAAGGCGTAATGAATATTTGCTAAGTAAAGAACCACGATGTAGGAGAGAAAGTGTTGTTTACTATCCAGTACATTGGAAGAAAATCGAAATCTCTTCATTTAGCCATTTCTGCGGTGGTATGAAGTTCCAGATATACTCAGTAATGTAGAATGATATGCAAAACATCTGCATCAGGGGGACTGGAACCCACATCTCACTCCGACCGAAGCGCGTGCTCTAAACCCTTGCACCACGGACTTTACATCACTGGGTACAGTGAAGAAAGTCGTCAGCGACTTTTTTTCAAAAATTTTCCTCTTGTTTAGGCTTAATCCGGCTTAATACATTTGTCGAAGCCCTGCGCAGCTCAGCACTATGGAATAAATTGGAAGGCATAAAGAAGAAAACAAAATAAACAGAAATTTCCATTAACGATGTTCCTATCTGTGGGTTAACCAGTAAATTATTGTCTATAAGGCAAACTGTGCATGTTTTCTGACCTGAATTCGGTGGAATCAGCTACCGGAAATAATGTTAGCAGCCACGCAGATACTGGTCGTTCGTAATCATTCCGTGAATGAACTTCATTGCTTACCTTTTGATGCACTGACCCCTCGTACCTAAAATTATCCTTCCGACTTTCACTCGACATCGATTATACTAGGTCAGCGCGATGGAAAGTAGCTTGTTATTCCACCAGTACTACCTCGTGTTTATCACTTTTCATTCCTGGAATTTTGTAGGCTCTTCAAGAGGACATCGGCCAATATTTCTTTGTGGCAACGTCACAATAACCATGCTTTTTATGTTAGCTGATCAGCCTCCAGGATGATCTCGTCAGATGTTTACTGAGATATAGTATTTTGCTTTTCAATATGGAGAAGCTTTGTGCCGCAATCGGCGTCTTCAGAAGGACTTCAAAAGAGTTCTTACTGTTAAAGAATGACTTCTATTCCTTCATGGAGCTGTTATTAGACTGTCTAATTGTTTTTCAGCATAGCTCAAGCTGGAATTTTCTTTTTACTGTAACGTTGCTCTCGCACTGTAGCACACTACTGCAAGATTTCTGGGGAAGTTCTAGTAAAATCAGCAAGAAATATTTTTAGCATTACTGTAAGTTAATCTTATGCTTTGTCTAGATGGAGATGCCATGGACTCTTCGACAACACTGAAATTCATCTTCTTCGATAGAAGATTCGACTGTGTTCCACCAGTATTTGATGTCACACTGTAGGTTGCAGTATCGCACCTCCATGAGTTCCAATAGTCCTAATAAATGATGTAACGTGCCATTTCAATGATCTTGCTCACGAGTATTCCTAAACCAGCTAGAGATGAAATTTGGTCAGATCAATTTTTGCATGCTTCTAATTACTCGTTCCACGACTCCTCCTACTGCCGGCTAAATTGATAGGCTCGATCGTATAAATATGAAAATGCGATGGTTTTTAGCTCTATATAGTCGCGATATGAAACTTGTGAAGTCTTCTACAGATGTGACACTTTGTAAATACTCGCTCATGCGCTATAAGTTAGAAACGAAGATATAGGATAACATACGCCGGCGCCAACAATTTGATGGTTCGTTTTCAAAAGTGTCATGACTTCCAGCACATCTTCTCCACTCTTCTTTCTCCATCAGTTGTCCTCCATAGCAGTAGTCCACTTTGAAAATGGTGACAGCCACAAAGCACATTACGCCCTGCGAATGAGAAATGAACCTAGATTCCTTGAGTCCGCTCTCCAGCTTTCGGCTATCTAATAATTTTTGTTCTTAATACATTATCATTTCATAGAAATGTTTCTTAGTAAATCTGCATTCTCCTGGATTCCAAACACTGTATCGGTTTTTGGAGAGCTGAGCTGTGTATGAAGGCTAGTAGCTGCAAAGCATATTTCAAAAGCATCATTCGAGGGCTTGTGAGTGGTGCACACAATCCTCGATGTGATGGAAGTATGAGTCAGCGTCCCTTTTGCATGAAACAAAGCTGGCTCAACATTCCAATCAAAAACGTGAGAGTTGAGTTTTTGGTACTTGAGGTAGTTTGTAACTTTTTTGTGAGTCCTTAGTTAGGCCCATGATTTCCTCTTTCTTCTGTTTAATTTACCCTTCCAGTTATTTTCTATGCTTATTTAACGTCCAAGTTAGGTGATTGCCAATACAAACGAACTATTCTTCTCATCTGCGCGCTTTCATACTCATATATTCTCATTAAATTGAGTTTTGGCCCTCTTCATATGTCATATACTTTTTAATTCTTCATTGATCTTACAGCGCACCCATCTGTGCTTTACATGTACTCCCGAAAAGAGGTTATTGCCGTTTGAACGGAGGACTCACGGAAACTTGTGAATAAGGTCTATCATTTCTCCTTTTGAATGAATAACTTCACTTTTCACTACAATGTGACCGCAGACATCTTTGGCGGAATGAAATCGATCTGTTATATTCTTTGTGATAAGGAAATAGTAAGAGGTTCATGGAACAGGCGCACATTTGTGATGCGTTTGATAGATCTACTATTTACCGTGACCAGCGGAAAACTAGTACACCCTCCTTGCCGAAGTGAACTCACTCTTCATCACGTGAATGTCGGTAAACCACTCATTAGACACTGGGCAGGATGACACTACATTATCCGAAAAGAAGAAAAAAGTCCAAAACTTTTGTATTTCTGTGAAACTGAACTCAGTACTTTAACCACCTCGACTAGCTCTATCTAAACTATAAATGGTGATTTTCCCATTTCCTTTTTGATAAAACAATTAGGCCATCTCTGTTCATACGAGCTAGAACGACAGTTTCTGAAAAAAATTTCACGCACCAGTAAATTGGACGCCCTTTCATGACGCATTTGCTGCAAAAAAATTAATCTTTACAGTCGGCGATTTGTGCCGGTTAAATCCCAATAAGCCTTTTCATTCAAACATTTTCTGTTACAATATCCGTTATCAACGAATGCCCTTGTAGAACGGTAATTATACCTTCTTATATTTTTCTTACACCTATCTGCCTTCAAAATCCTTCAGTAA